AAAAAAAAAAAAAAAAAAAAGAAGAAAACAATGCTATCACTTTGTAAAATTTTAGATTAGATGAATTTTATATATTGAATCAGTAAAAAAGCCCATATTAGTTTTTGGTATAAATTAACATATCAAATAAAACAAATACTAAGATTGCTGCATGTATTAAAAGTTTTAGGGTGATCATACAGAAAAGTCCAAAATGTTTAGCTAAGATGGAAATGGTACGTTCCAGCTCACATACATCGACTAAAAGTAATTTAGAGGTTTGAATCTCCAAACCCATTTATTGTTAACTAAGTAATCTTACTTGTGGTAGTATTTAAGGAATAGCAATAATAACAATGTCAGTAGAAATGAAAAAATGACAATTTCTGGATCAGAGAGCATTTTTATTAGCTGTTGAAAGTTTCCATTCATAGGATAGAGAGTTTGGTGGTTACTGGATTTTTTTAGGATGCAGAGTAATGGTGCTGATGATAAAGCTCTAAGATTTTTTTTATTTTTTATATGAGGGATTGTTGTATATATTTTATTATACTCTTAGAATCAAAACCTGTGAAACAAGTCCAATTAGTTTAAAATATGTTTAGAAGAATTTTGCAGATAAATCCAATCCAACTAGATTATTATCCTTAATACAATTTGAGCCAATCGCCCATCGCTAGTAGGTATGGTCTTCTTTAGACTTTTTTTTTAGAGTTTTCCCTTAAAATTTTTAAAACGGGTCTGCCATTGAGGAGGCTGAATCTCGAAGGGGGTGGACACGAGACGGTGTGTCAGCAAGAATGCTGTGTCCCGAAAGAGGTGGATTGTGAGATCCCACATCGATTGGGGAGGAGAACGAAATATTCTTTATAAGGGTGTGAAAACCTCTCCTAACAGATCGCGTTCTATAAAGAGAAATTTAAAAGGGAAAGTTTAAAGAGGACAATATCTATTGGCGGTGGACTTATGAACTAGCTAGTTCATGTATAAACAGCATTTTTACTGTGGTTCTGACATATTGAACTATGAGTGGATTTTTGCGTGCTTCCTCTGCGCATATAAATTCTGATGCTCATGCTTGATGGGGCTACTGCTTTGGTGCCACTTTCTAGCCTTTCAAGGCCTCATTAAAAGTGTTAACTTTATAAACATTTGCCAAAGGACGTCGGGTTTGAAGCTACTGATGCGAAGAAGCAAGCTCGTGGATCAACCTCTACAAAAAGATCTCGTGCTGCTGAGGTCCATAATCTGTCTGAGCGAGTGAGTAATTCGCTGCTGTTATATAAAGGAAAGTGTAGCTTCTTCTGTGTTTTTGTTATTCATCTGTTCATGGAAAACATCCCTACATTACAGAGAAGAAGAGATAGGATAAATGAAAAGATGAAAGCTTTGCAGGAGCTCATACCTCGGTGTAACAAGGTGCATATCCAATTAGCGAGACAATTTCCAACCCCTGAAATCAGTGCGTAGATCAAATTATTTCTTCCCATTTTAATTTGTGCACTGAGATTTGGTTAATATTTTCTCAAATTTCAGGTAGACAAAGCTTCAATGTTGGATGAGGCAATTGAGTACTTGAAGTCACTTCAGTTGCAAGTTCAGGTTGGTTACCTCTTCCATGTTTACTCAAAATCACGTTGGGCATACATTTTCGTGCTATTTAGTAGTGAGGGTACTAACACTTGACCATTTGGGTTTACTCATGTTCTTTATTTCAAGTATGAATACATCTACTTTGGATGGAGTTAACTATAATTGGATTTTTGCTGGCTTTATTTGACATCTCACGTCTATTCAGTCTGAAGATTTGCATGGAGCACTTGTGACCCTTATGGTTTTTTCCTTTCATCGTCGGTATTTATCAGTGTTCGTTCCTCTACTCTGTCATGTATCATTTTAAGGGTTAGAATATTTTGTTATCCTCCCAGATTTAAACAATCCACCCCTTTTGATGCCCAACTCCTTGCTGGCACACTATCTCGTGTCTTACTTCTTTTGGGGCTTAGTCTTATAGCAGACACATTGCCTGATGTCTAACTCTAATATCATTTGTAATAGCCCAAGCCTATTGTTAGAAAATAGTACTCTTTAAGCTTTCCTTTTCGAGCTTCACCTCAAGGTTCTTAAAAGGCTTTTTTTAGGAAGAAGTTTCCACGCACTTATAAAAAATGTTTCGTTCTCCTTTCCAACCAATGTGGGATCTCACACTTGCAGAGGAGTTTTCTACCTCTTCTGATATTACTTGATACTACTGAGTTTGCATAATTGTGATCAAAAGATTGGGGATGGGACTCGCATCTGCGTGATGATTTCCCCATAGAATCTGATAAAATTTTGGTGAAAATGTTGGTTGTAGCATGACAAACGTGGTACAGTATGCATGATAAGTAATACGAATATTGACCAGTTTCTATGCAGATGATGTCCATGGGATGTGGTATGGTGCCCATGATGTTTCCTGGGGTCCAACAATTCATGCCGCCAATGGGAATGGGACTTGGAATGGGCATGGGCATGGGCATGGAAACAGGTGTGAACCGTCCCATGATGCCATACCCCAACATGTTAGCTGGGCCAATGTTTCCAAGGCAATCTGGAGCTGCTCAACTTGGCCCAACTTTCTCATTCCCAGCCTTCAATATGGCGCATCAGAATTCAAGAATTCAAGAAACAAATCAGTCGGATCACTTCCACAGCTTACCAGGAATGAAAAATATAAACCCGCCAGAGGCCTCAAGTTCACTCCATGGCTATCAGCAGTTTCTTGGTTCCCAACAGATGCCTGCGCCAGCCGCAGTATCACAGCCTTCCCGACAGGTATCTAGCCTCTAATCTCCTTTTTAGTCTTTATTATTATTATTGGATTGTTATAAATAATTAAATTATATATGAAAATAGTAAAGGATTATATCTAATAAAAGCTATATATTAAATTGAAACCATACTTGAAGTTATAAATATAAACTTTTAGTTAATATTGCTCTTTGCATTTTCTCTCCGGTTCCTAAATCAACTGTGTACGTGTACGTTGTTGTGCGGCGAAACTATGGTATCATTATAGCTCTTTAAATAGTTATTGCAACTTACAACCAGCTGTGATATCGATTAAAGATATTTAGGGCCTTCTATTAGGTGCACGGCGAAACTATGGTATCATTATAGCTCTTTTAAATAGTTATTGCAACTTACAACCAGGTGTGATATCAATTAAAGATATTTAGGGCCTTCTATTACGGTTTACCATAGGTACTATAATTGACATTTTATTACAGTCATATATTTAGATATTTAGGTATCATATTTGACTTCTTATTACATGAAAATAGTATCTTGTATTCATTTAATGTTCTTTCCATTCCATACTTTTTCCTTTCATTGCTATTTCATTTGTAATTTATTTGATGATTATAAATAGAGAATTTTGGTGGGGATGGTGGGTGGTTTTAGAAAATTTTTCTCGGTACTATTTAAACACAATTCTTTCACAGAATCAACCAGCCAATCAACAAACTAGTCGGGGACTTGAAAACATCGACAATCATGAACCAAGAAGCCCCACCATGGATCCATGTAAGCTTTCAATCTGAACGTTTTTCTTGTTTGATTCTGTTTTATTCGCTACTCTAATCTCGACTTTGTATGATTGCAGGCTGAAATTGGAGGAAGCATGGAATGTCCTGGATAGGCCTCCATGCCTGCAAAATTTTGTAGCTAGGTAGAGTTTGATTACAATAACATAACACAGGTTTACATGTAAATTATGCGTAGTTCTTACACATAACCACACCCAACAGATCAGCTAGATGTGACTTGTTGAGACTGTGTATGCTATGAATATTTGTGATTGAAACATTGGTGTTGATAATGAGTTTGTTGAAAGAAGGGAGAGGAGCAGGTTTGTTCTTGAACTATGGGAAAATTGTGTGTGAGTTCATGGAGTTTTGTGCACTTGCAAATTGCAATGACCTGCTTGGAACTCTTGGAAATGGCTTGATATTATTTCGTCTCACCTGGTTTTCTTTTTTCTTTTTTCTTTTTTGTCTTTGTTTTAGAGCATTGAAAGAGGAAAGGGGAAGGGGAAGAGGAAGAGGAAGAAGGCAAGTGCTGGTGAAGAGAAGACTAAGGTGAACCAAGAGAATTTAATTTGGATTTTGAAGTGACCCATCATAGACTAGATATATAGATATAATAAGTATTTAACATATTCGATCTTCTAGGTTAACCACATCTGAGTTTAATGTTTTTGTTATGCATTCTTGATTATTAGCGTCTATCGTTTGGTTTAGTAATGTTTTCATTTTCTTTTGTTTCTTGATTTTTCTTTTTCAATAAAAAAACTAAAACCTTATTTGGTTATTGTTTTAGTAAGTTAACACAAATCGTTTGTGTTTGTTCATCTTTAATATTATGCTTAAAATTGTAAGAAACATACAAAATTTCAGGAATCTCATTATATGTCATCCATTGTTCATCTTTAATTAGTTTTCAATGTGAACATCATTAGTAAAAATCAAGTTGGGTATTGCTCCTTAGTTAAACGAGGTCAGGAATAGGGATCATGTCGTACTATCCCCGTGCTTACCCACGAACCTGTTCAATCCTTACCTCGTCCCACCCCGTTATATATATATTATAAATGGAAAGAATTTTCCTGAACATTTCTAACCATAAGTGATCGGCTCAGAGGATGCCCATTACAACCATGAACGAAATTAATGATCATCTTCAAAATTGAGGCTTTCAAGTTCAAAACGCTTGTAAGGTGAGTTTGGAGAACAAAGGAAAGTACATATTCTAAAAAAACACACATATATTGATTAAAACCAGAGAACACAGAGTATTACCAACTCCAAAATGTGAAGAAAGAAGACGTATTTCGAATAGTTGTTTCAAGCACACACTAACCATAATCTTCATCACATATATAACCCTTCTGGCACGCCTTCTTTCTTCTTGTACATAACCTTCTCCTTTGCCTTCTTGAAGTCTGCATGTGTAACCTGATGCAAAACACAACCAAAGAACAACTTAAGCAACAGCCATTCAACTCCAAGAGTAACAGTACACAAAATGGACTCGGGTCAGACTGTTCGATCCCCGTTCTGTCAGTCGTGACATATGATGATAGTCCAAAAACTTGGAGCTTAATCACCGTGTCTAAAGATCTTGCGTTTTTTAAAGCTTACTACAACTGACCCTAAACTATTCAATCCCCATTCTGTCGGTCGTGACATATGATAGTCCAAAATCTTGGAGCTTAATCACCCAAACTAAAGATCTTGCGTTTTTGAAAGCTTACTACAACGAACCTCTTACTGTTTGATCCCCATTCTGTCGGTCGTGACATATGATAGTCCAAAATCTTAGAGCTTAATCGCCGATGTCTAAAGATCTTGCGTTTTTTTAAGCTTACTACAACTGACCCCTTACTGTTCGATCCTCATTCTATCGGTTGTGACATATGATAGTCCAAAATCTTAGAGCTTAATCATCGATGTCTAAAGATCTTACGTTTTTCAAAGCTTACTACAAGTTACTAGATCATTGAAGGGGAAAAGTTCTCTTGTATCATAATTCATTTAGAAACTCGGAGAGCTCTTACCTTCATACGCCGTTCTCTCAAAGCAAGCAGCCCAGCTTCAGTACATATGGCCTTTATATCAGCACCAGAGAATTCATCTTTTGTCATAACAAATTCCTCTAAGTTGACATCATCTGCCAATGTCATCCTTGATGTGTGAATCTGCAAATCAGAGTTCTTAAGTTGTTAGACAAAGAAGAAAGACCTTTAAATATCTAATCAACCCGAACTATTAAATGGTGTAAGTTGCAACACAGCTTCAACATTAACATGGCTTTGAATTGAAAACTAGACCTGAAAAATACGCCTCCTGGTTTTTATGTCAGGCAAGGGAAACTCAATCTTCCTGTCTATTCGGCCTGGTCGAAGCAAAGCTGGGTCGAGACTTTCGATTCTGTTTGTAGCAAGTATCACTTTAACATCTCCTCTTGAATCAAAACCATCCAATTGGTTGAGTAATTCCAACATTGTCCGTTGGATCTCACGTTCACCTCCGGAGTGAGCATCATACCTGAACGGAGTATGAATCAGGACAACACAATCTTCTTTAATAAAATGAGTGTAAAACAACTGACCTTTTTGTGCCGACAGCATCGATCTCATCAATAAAAACAATGGAAGGCGAGAGATCATCAGCAACCCTGAAGAGTTCCCTCACCAACTTTGGACCATCTCCCAAGTATTTCTGGATGAGTTCACTCCCAACCACACGCAAGAAAGTGGCTGAAGTTGAGTTCGCCACTGCCTACAAGAGGGAAAATGTGGTTTACAAAGTCCAAGAAAATTTGTACCTATGCATTGTAGTTCTGACAAAGAATTGTCAATTATGGACACATAGCATGAATTTAACTGATAAGCATCCAATTTAAAAATTGATTTTGTAGTTTGAAGAGAACCTAAAAAATAGTCTAAATGTGAGATCCCACATTGGTTGAAGAGGAGAAACGAAACATTTCTTATAAGGGTGTAGAAACCACTCCCTAGCAGACGCGTTTTAAAAACCTTGAGGGGAAGCCCTAAAGGGAAAGCCAAAGAGGACAATATTTGCTAGTAGTGGGCTTATCAGAGCCAGACACCGAGCGGTGTGCCAACGAGGATACTAGGCCCTGAAGGGAGGTGTATAGATCCCACATTGGTTGGAGAGGAGAACGAAAGATTCCTCAGAAGGGTGTGAAAATCTGTCCCTAGCAGACACGCTTTCCCTGATTGTCTTTAATTTCTCTTTCTTTCCCCTTAATTCTTGTTATTCTCGGTTGAACAATTCCATTGCCTGAACCTATCCTCTTTTCCTCGAGCTACTTACTCCCTCTCGCTATCGGTTCGAAATGTGGAGATACCGTTTTAAAAACCTTGAGGGAAATCCCGAAAGGAAAAGCCCAAAGAGGACAATATCGGCTAGTGGTGGGCTTAACTGTTACACTAAATGATTAAAGTTTATATAACCAAGACTTCAACTTCAAACAGAACAGGTTATAAATCTACTGAACGAGTGAACATCAAAGTTTTGAAGGGGGAAAAAGAATAAAAATTCACCTTTGCAAGCAAAGTCTTGCCTGTTCCTGGCTCCCCGTACAGAATCACACCTTTAGGTGGCCTAATACCTATGTCCTCATATAACTCAGGATGGGTCAGTGGCAACTCAACAGCTTCTTTAATCTCTTGTATTTGAGCATCCAATCCACCAATATCAGCATATGACTCTAAAGGGGCCTTCTCAACTTTCATCACAGACACCATTGGATCAACCTCATCTTGGAGAAGTCCAACCACGGAAAGTACCTAGAAAACAAACCGTTGACGGTAGGCAAAATGATCAACCAATGCCTTGATTATACTCGTAAGAAACAAACTAAAAGACGTGCATAATGCCATATAACGAGTACTCGTAAGAAACAAACTAAAAGACGTGCATAATACCATATAACGCGCCAACTATCTATGTAGTTTCATCACATATATCCAACTACAACACCTCAAAGTTCAAAGATAAGCTTTACAGTTCATCCAAGAGATTAACAATATCAGAACTATACATAAAAGTGGAAATGACTGACGAAACTTGAGTCGAAGTACCTCAAACAAAACCCAGCATTTTAAATTCCACAACAATTGGCTAAATGGTCATATATAAATCACAGAAAGATGTAATAAAGCATTATATGAACTGAATCCAGATTACTAGACTTAGGATACCATCTACATTTGAAGCCATTCCCACTTTCTTCTTCTTGAATAACAAATCTAAGAAATTCAATGTATACCAAATTTTGGCCTCATCCACGTTAGAAGAAAGTCTCCAAATTGCAACATAAACTACCCAAGTCTTTTACTAACAGAATCATACAATCTATACACCAAAAGGAAATGAAATCAACTTCCAACACAAAATCAAACGCCAAGAAGAACTTAACAAGAGAGAATTCAACAAAATCTTCAAATAGAAACAAAAAGCCCTATACCTTATTATGCATCAAAATTGCACACCCAGGCTCAAGCTGATCTTTATCAACAAAAGACATAATACCAACGTAATACTCCGGTCCAACAGAAGAGGAAACGATCGCATGATTCTCATCAATCAACTCCTCCAAATTTCCAACACTCATGGGAGATCCCCTCAGATCATCGACCTTAGAGCGATCCTCCTCCGCCTTCTCCTCCTGCGGCTTAAGGCGCTCCTGATTAGTGACAAATTCCTCCTCCATTAACAGGTAATCCTTCACACGCTCAAGTTTCAGAAGCCTCAGCCTGCACTTCGTGTGAGGCGTCACCGTCGGCAGTCGAGCCGCCGCCTCCGGACCTTTCTGCTTCCTCTGTTTCCGGCCAACTCGAGTCGGCGGCGCCGCCGGTTCATACTTCTTGTCTTTCTTCTTATCGGCGTCCGACTTCCGGTCGCCGGGGGATAGCCGATTCAGACCTCCTGGAGTTCCCTGACCCATTTTTTACAATCCGAAGTGAGAAAAAAGAGAGATTCCGAGAAATGGTTCCCGATTGAAGCTAATATTCAGTCCCGGTGACCCATTGAACAAGAAAAGAATCACTGTGTTTTGAATGGGCTCTGGCCTTTACCTAAATTTCTCTCGTTAATTGGGCTTGTAATTGAACTCATTTAGGCCTGCCTTTGGTATGAGCTTGGGCCAATATCTGAAACAGTTAGTATGGGCTTGGGCCTCAACCAAACAGCCTTAAATTGGGCTCGTGGTGGGCTTATTTGGGCTTTATCTAGCCTTTACCTAACTTTCTCTCCTTAATTGGGCTTATAATTGAAATCATTTAGGCCTGTTTTTGGTATGGGCTTGGGCCAACACCTGAAACTGTTAGTATGGGCTTGGGCCTCACCAAACAGCCTTGAAATTGGGCTCGTGGTGGGCTTATTTGGGCTTTTATCTAGCGTAGCATGAAAATGGGTCATTGCGAAGGGTTAAT